TTTTTTTCATAAAACATTTTTATCGATAAAATAAAATTTTAAACAAACAACGATTGATCGTCTCGCAAAAAATCCAAGAACAGATTATCTTTCTTATGCAAAATCCAGTTCATATCAAATAAATATAAAAAAGTACTATACGCGTGTAAAGACGTGATCTGTTCAATTATTTATTTATAAAACTTCAGTTTTTATACCAAATAATTAAAAGGATCACATTTCTATATATACATTTTTAAAGTAAACTGTAATTAATAATTATATCTAGCTATAAAAAAAATTATACAATACTATTCTAAGGCAAGATATGTAATATATATTTACATTTATTTTAATGCATGTTTTTAAGCATCATATGCATTTAGTGTCAGAACTTATAATTTTATTAAAATATATTAATATAATAAAAATTAATCCCATATTGTAAAATATAATACAAAGCATAAATATATATTAATTTATATAGTTCTGAAGTTGCACTAGTCTTAAATAGATTATCGTTTGATAATACAGATACTGGTTTATCTTATTACTGTATTTTTACATCTGTCCTGTATATATATAAAAATAATCTCATATATAATCAAAATATACTATGCAATCTTCTTTTTATTTTTAAAATAGTTATTTAAGCAATTATTTAAGCTAATTGCGATTTTGACTGTAAAAAGAATCTTTTAAAATATGATTTATGAAAAAAATCAGTATTACTATTGTCAAAAGGTTAGGCACAAGTATGCTAATTGTTTATTGAAGCTGCCAATAGATCAAGATTATGAACTCATTCTTTCTGTCAAAATATGGATGCTTTATAAGGTAGACCTTTGTATAAAGAATGAATCTCACCCTAATTGCCATCACGTGATTTACTAATTTAATTTTTCAGAAATTACTCCCTACAAAGGAATATAAAGAAAAAAGAGACAAATTAGTTAAGGAAATTGAAGGAATTTTAAGCAAAGAATGGCCTGATCACAAAATAAATATTTATTTATTTGGGTAAATTGGTTTTTTTTTAATCAGGGTAGGGGAAAAATATATTCATTATAAATAATTCATTCAATTAAATATACTTTTATTAAGATCATCGATAAATCTTCTTGGAACATTGACCTCTGATGCAGATATATACGTTATAACACCAAATAGAGAGCTAGAAGACATATTTATATTGTTCAAAAAGTTGAAAAAATGTTTGAAAATTTTATTTTCTAAGGCCAAACCAATTTGATTCTGTGTTTTATGTCCCTTTCTCCTCTTTTTAGACCATCCCCCCTTTCTCTCTCATAGTAAAAAAAAA